ACAAAAAAGGATACTGAAGAGCAAGCAGTTGCAAACAATTACATTTTGCCAGAATCCATAAACAAACTGACTAATTAATGTACAAGATAAGTATAACACTGGAGGAATGGAAGTTTATTTAGCTTACCATCCATCCATGCTCACAATTATGTAAACATCCATAACAGACCTATGTGGGGAGCGAATAACTCTAAAATATAAAATTAAAGGAAAATTAAGTCAGTGATAATCACACATTGTGTAATATACTTCTTCTGTACATAGTATTTAAAATATGTTGCATTTTCATAAGACTTACAGTGATAATTGATTAAATAAACAATCAGCGATCATGCTCACCATACACAGTTATGTGAACACTTGTATTCTGAAATCCTCTTCTTTATCAAACTATCAAGTTATAAAGCTATAAAGGGTTTAGGAAATTCTGGAACATCTCTCTTACATAGTTATTTCCAAACATTTGTAATCCGTTGCATTTTATAGCCAGTCTATTTTACTTTATATTGAAAAAAAATCCCCTGTACATTAAAAAATGTTATTAAGATTGCAAAGCCAAGCATACCAAGTTGGGAAAAAGCTAGAAGTAATGTTGGTTACCTATGTATGCAACTGGATCACAGGGAAATTCAGGTCAAAAGTATCCAGCTAAATTTTTGTTCTCTATTGGAGGTACATCTGACATGGTTTTTGAGAGTACATAATATGACGTTATTTCATGTGAACAAAGCACAGATCTCATTGACTTTATTTGTACCTGTGAATGCTCAGTACTTCTCTAAATCAGACGCAGTATCTCAAGCAAGGTGTCCAGATAACAAGGAACATGCAGTGCAGTTGCAAAAAGAAAAAAAAACCCACGGGGATTTCAGTATACATCATCAAATTGACACCCACATAGAACATTAGTAGGGATGCAACCTTAGATTCACTACACAGATGTTTGCCACCTGAGCTAACAGGGTAGCTACGAGCAGGAACAATTTGGAATCCTGTATATGGACCAACAGTGGAGGGATGCGAGATATTTTGGGCAAAATCCAATACTTTACATGCCCAAATGTTGCAACTTAGGTGAAATTTTTAGCACTTATGCAGACTTTAGATTCTGTTCCACACGTGTCACTATACCTGTCATTTTGAGCATGCTCAGAAGCCCCCATTATGACTATATATACTCTTGTGGTGGAATAGGATCACCCAGGCAGGTGCAGAAATTCCTGGAGGTGTGAATGCAGAAAAAAAAAATGATTATCTGCTTGTGCTAAGGGCAAGCAAACAAATTCTTCTAGTTTTTAGTTCAATTGTTGTTCAGGGCACTTGCTCAGGGATTAGGAAACTCAGGTTCAAGGCCCAACTTCACTCAGAAAGGGATTTAAACTCACATCTTCCCAGAACATGTACATAAAAAAGAATTTTTAAATCTACCAAACATAGATAAATGCATCTGCTTTATTTGGGATCAAATCCAAAGAGTTATGGAAAGCTTGAACACAATATCCTTCACTGCTGAAGCTCTGCAGTCAGGCTGAATAGGGAACAGAGGAAAAAGTGCTAACAGGTGGTTGGGGGTGGTTTGAGAGTGATATCTGACCTTTCAGTGGTCCAGATGTTCTCTCAATGCTAGTCCTAAGTAGACCACTTATGCAGAACCCAAATAAAGGGCACAGAAATGTCAACAGCTACTCTAGTACAACAGTCCCAGAGGTATTGCTAGTTAGCGTGGAAAAGTGATTTCTGTCATCAACCTTTTTAGTTTCTACAAAGATCAAAAACTGGAAATTAAAAGGCAGTGGTGGGAATACAGGAATATTTGCTTGGAAAAAGGGGTGGGGAGGGAGTGTGAATTTCAAGATGAACTTTTTTGGGATCCCTCAGAATCTGAGGATACCTATTTCAAGACTTTACTTCCTGTCCAAAGTGCTTTGATCAGAAAATCTACAAAAAATATATCCTGGTAGCCATCAGAAATGCAATATTATTTCTAGAATATCTCATCTCAACTCCAAGAAAATCATTGTGTAGATGATGATCTAGGCCTACTTATGAAATGAAATATAAAACTGTTTCTTGCTGCACCATCTTTTATATGGAAAGGCAGTTCCCATTATTGTACACAGTATATGAGTGTATGTGGTTATTTACCACTTACTGGGTGCATCTATACAAGACATTTACTTTGCAGTTGACTAATTAACTGTGCAGTAGACATCTGAGTGTCTACACGTGTGTCCCTACTAGGGAGCATGATACAAACTGCAGCAGGTTAGGACTTGTAAAATACAAGTATTTTTTGTGTGCAGCAGCACTGCCCCAGCTGGTTGTTGCACAAGTTGCTTCAGTACGGGCTTGCTGGCAGGCCGACCCCCTGGGTCTCCTGCCAGCCCCAGCTGTTCAGACTGGGCTCCATGTGCTGGGCACGAACAAACTCTGGTGCAATATGCTCTGGAGTTTATTTGTTCTCATTAATTGTACATGTAGATGCATCCACTTTGCTATACATTACAGGAGGACTTTTTCAGTGGGGGCATAGCCATTACGTTGATAGTAATAGCATCCTCTCATAACCAAACTATAGTGAGGACTACATTTATATTCCTAACATAGTCTGGTTTACAATCTAAAAGAAGTCTCTCAAAAAAATTCCATGGTCATTCACAGTAAAAATTGTTCATTTTGAAAGTTAGAGCAAACTCTGCCTATTCACCTTTGAAATAAGGTTAGGTGACAAAAAAGTTATTTTGCAGAGCTACAGGCCTGCCATGAATTAATCTTATTTTCATGATAAGATCTTGGGCAACTGATGAAGCAATTTTTAAACTTTCATTTGCTGAAATGTTTCTTCCAAGAAAAGTCTTACATCTTGCCTATATCATTTGGGTCTTTGGGGAACTAATGCATTAATGGGTTTCATTTGTAATTTAGTTTGTTAACGTAATGTTCGAAAATGACTTGAAAGATGAAATGTACTCCAAGTGCTACGTATTGTTTTCCTCTGTATAAATAGCTCAAAGGTAAAATGATCTTCTATTTTTGCTACTCTGAGAAAATGTATACATATAAATCTCTAAGCACTGATACATAAGGGAAAAAGATTTAAAGGAAAATGAACATATTTTCAATAGAAATATTTCTACAACCGCAAAAATCAATCCTTTCACTAAAAAAATATCAACCACTTCTCAAATATGCCCTGAGGCAAATCAGCTCTTTATCTGATAAAAAAGACCTTAATAAATAGTACATGCATAGCTACATTGTGCCCTTAATGTCAACAGATGTGTTGAAGTAAGAGAGGAAGCAAATTCCAGACAAGAGACCACCACCTACAATGCTCTGTGCCTCTAGAGCTCTGATGTCCAAATTTGTGGATGTTTGTCTAACTACTACACCTTGTCTCAGTTTATCAGGGTAGAAGTTAAGGAGAAAGTGGCCTCTGATATAACTGGGCATCTAGCTGTTTAGACCTCTGTAGGTTATGAGTGAAAAATTAACTGGAAACTATTGCAATTGATAGACTACATTGTCTCAGCAAGAAGTAGTTAGTAAATGTGCAAACATATTTCTTGAGGGGTGACATTTTTGGTGGTGCTCACATCTACCCCACATTGAGCACACTTGTTATCTAATCCTAAAATGACAAAGGCAGTGATGGTTGTGGTGAAATCTTCATCTGAGAGAAAAGGTTGCAGAAAACTTCTGGACAAATGCAAGTCAATAAGTACCCTGCTGTCTAATGTTACTACTAGGATAGGTACAGGAATTGAATGAGAGAAGAGTGTCCTGGCAGGAAGCTCTTCCTAATCAGATCCCTGTTATTACTGAGTTGGGAATCCTGTGAACAGGAGTGAGCCATGGAAACCCTATTCCAAGGTTAAGTGGAAGATTTGAACCCTGGGGCTAGGTAGAGATTACAGTCTGAGTGAGCTTTTCCACAGAGGGGTAGAGTTGGGGAAAAGACGGCTTGGGGGCCAGAATCGACCACGGAGCACAGTCTTGTAAAGGAGGCTGTGGTCACCCGCTAGAATTTTTTACTCTAGAATTGAAGGCAAAGATTAATTCTTGTTGAGACTCTATAGAAAAGTGGAGAAGGGGCAGGGTGGGGAAAGAGGACTTCTGAGGGAGACTCTAGGAAGAGACATCCTGGTGGTGTAACCTATAAAATCGTAGTGAGACAGGTCAAGAGCATCTGTGGCATAGGCGGAAACTTTGTTAAGGAGATGCAGACAAAGTTGTATTTTGCATGGGCAAGCTGGCTGATTCCCAAGACTAGAAACCCATAATTAGAGGGCTTGATTTCTCCCTATTCTCCTAACCTGTGAGGAAGTACAGAGACCTCTTGTTTACAAGAAAAAAACTGGAGTGACAGAGAAGCCCAGGAATTGGAGGGAGAGAAAAAACACACCTTCAGGAAAGAAGGGCTTTGCTATGTCAGGCTGGAACAGAAGACAAGTTGCATTTTATAGAGTCTGATATCTAAAAAATGGCAGCCTTTTTAATTTGGTCAGAAATTAAAACACCTCAGCAACTGCAACATATTAAAGGCTAAGAGAGCCATTGGGTGAACCAGGAGGGAAACTGAGGCATGGTGATGGCAGTGCTGTGAAAGGCCACGAGGACAATTGCTTTGAGACTGCCCACTCAGTCAGCAGAACAGAACTCTGGGGGAGCCGTCTGGGTAATGTTAGTACAGATAATCAGTGTGATTAACTGATTGCCAATTGTATGAAAAGCAATCTCATGTATGTGTCCCCTCTACTGATTAGCAAAAGGATCTTTTCAACTACAGAGAAAACTTCCTACTCTACCAAACCCTGAAGTATGGTCATAAGAGGACTTAAAGAAATCTGAGAGCTCCAGACTTGTTGTAAATATCTTGAAAAAAAAAAGTATGGTGGCTATAAAAAGCCCCTGGTAGCACAACAGCTGGTACTTTGCCCTAGTGAATGGAGACATTGATTATAGCCACACAAAACAGACCTGCTATCTTTGCTTAGAAATGTGGTGTACAGGTGCTCCTTGAAGGTCACAGCTCAAATATTTCCAACATGCTGAGAACCTCAGTGAGTGAGGCTGGCTGAAATTCAGGGGGAAAAAAAAAGAAATTGCAGTTGTAAAACAAGGTGTAAATTATATTGTGTCATTTTAAAGGAAAAATAAAAGACTATTACATATTCCTCCAGCTGAGCTTGAGAGCCTTCAGCAGCTTGCATTTCCTCTTGCCTTCATTCTTCAAAATCTGCCACTTGCTATATACAAAGAGAATTTCAAGTTAAGGAGCAGGAGGACAAAAACACATGCAATGGTTATGTATTTTCCCAGTGCACAAATCAGTTGGTGACATGTTTGTAAAAAGGCATGTGGAGCTGTAGACAGAAAACAGTAGTGCTAATTCATATCATCCTGACTTTGCCTGACTTCCTTGCAGAGATAAGAGAGGCAGCGTGTAGCCCGTCTCCTTTCTGTTCCTCCGAGACATAGACCATGACTTCCTGTCCCATTTACTACCCACCCCAGCCAGCTGCTGGTAAAAATTCCACTCCTTACTCCTTTCTGTAGCAAAAGCTCTTATTCAAAGCTAAATCACAGCCCAAAAGAGGAAGTGTTGAAACATCCACATCTCAGCATTTCAGGCAGCCAAAGGAATGCAAAATGTCCCATGTGGGATTACTTTCATGCAAGACAGAGAGAGAGTCAGTTTCCCTTAACGTTTATTTTTTAAAGAATATGTGAGCCTATAATTTAGAATGAGAAATGTATATTTCCAATATATCTCATGTTCTGTTTTGTGTCTATTATTTCCCCATACTCTTCAATGGAGGCCTTTTTTTTTCATTTTTAGTTCCATGCTTGTTATGTCAATTGTTAGTCTCCTAGCAGAGGGATACAGAGTTATTATTTATTTCGTTGACCTACTTTGGTATCACTCCTACTCACCTCCAAATCAGGAGTAGAAGCAGGTTTGCCCTTCTGTCTTGTACAGAGAAGTAGGTTAGGGACAAAGTACTTCAACAAGAAAAACAAATAGTTACAATTAAGCTTGAGAGGACCATTTCACTTAGGTTTGTTGCTTTGTTGTTATCTGTAGTAACATTATAGGGTAAACTTGAGGAATAAAGTATGTCCTGCTGTAGATCCCAAATGATGTGTGATAGAAACAGGATCAAAATACCAACTTCTTAAACTCTAATATGTGCATCTATTTTCCATGCAAAGACGTACACCCAGCTTTATCTCTTTATCCTCAATGGTATATTAATACCTTGCTATCTTTTTTCTGTGCAGGTGATCAGTGGTCAGTGAAATTTCTAAGGATCTCTTCAATAAACAAGAGCTTTCAGCTATTCATGCCAATGGGGTTTTTACTAAAAATCATGTGAGTGCAAATTATACTCATTCTAGTGTAAATCTGCAGTTGTTCGTTCATTTTAATGGAATCATTTCAATACAAGGGGCCAGTCAGATTTTGATTCAAGATCTCTGTATATCTATCTATCTATCTATCTATCTATCTATCATTAGGGATGATCAATTAGTTCTAGTGAATATGTTTTCTAAATAAACAATCTTACTAGAACCTATTTTGAGAAATCTGAGCTGAATTAAAAAAAGCAGATTGTAGGCACCCAAGATAAAACTTCAGTGAAATGTAGGTTCCTGAGTCCAACTGAGTGTTTTATGAATACCTTGCCTAGAAGTGCATCTGAAAGTTCATATGCAACTAAGTTTTTCCCAGTAGCTTTGGTGCCTAAAAATTTGCAAACGCACATTCCTTGGAGCACTGGTATCTTGGCTAGATTGTGCGTCTCAGTGCCTGAGCACATTCTTGATCCACACACAAAGTGTCCCCGCATCTGCAAGTTCTGAGGGACGCTGTCTGGTAGATGTGCTCTACTCCCCTACTCAGCATGGTGACTGTTGTGAACCCCATTGTTAGGCAATTACTTCTCTCTATTCACTGTACAAGGAACTTGTATGCGTAGCTCAGGCTTGTCCACTCTACTTTCACCATAAGATGAACATGTCAATGCTCTGCATTTTTGTGCCCAGGTATCTTAGTAGACACCAACTCAAATGATTTCCATCTCTGAGCAGAATACGATAGGAGTGTCACTTCACACAATGAGCATGATATCTTCATTCATCCAAGATAGAATGAATGTTTAGGAAATTTAGGTTATTGTCCAAGAGCACATGGCCTAGGATTCCAGGTCTGATGCTATAAGCCCAGCTTTTCTGTCCAAATGAAGGTGCAAATGGTAATTGTAGCATGCATCCCTCAGAGGTATAAGTGAACACAAGAAGTCCAACTGTATCCCTTTGCAGAGGTAGCTTATGTAGGGGGAAAGTATGGGAAGAGAAAAACTAGTCTTAGTTGTGTCTCAGAGATGACAGCCTCCTGTTAGGGACTTGAATCTGCCTCTCCATCTCTGACGAGTTGACACACAATGAGGAGGAAAAAAGAGAGGAGAAGACCTGAATAATATATACAGCTGACATTACTTGCTTCCTATTTGGAGCAAGAGGGAAGGTCAGGGACTAGAACATAACTTTCTGGGTGATTGCTTGAAGACCCTGTGGTCAGCTTTCTTTTTATAGAAATTCCTTGATTCATCACTGCTTGTCAACATCCTTTTCCTGCCCTTATGCCTGCTTTTAAACTGGAATAAAAATCACTATTCAAACAAAATAAATTACAAGAAGAATTAATTCAGAACAAGGGGTACACATGTCCTAAGTACAGATTGAAGATGGCATAACTGGAGTTTGCAATCACCAGGAAGGAGGATCACTCTTTAAAATGATGGTATTGTCTTCAGTTAAACTTGTCCTATTTACTTGTCCTAAATCCATACCCCTTTTTAATTGTAGTTCACAGAATATAATTAAAATTGTGTATAAAGCAAACCTACAGTCTACACTGATGCTTAAATTGTATAGAAATTCTGAACCATTATTAATTTGTACAAAAATCTCAAAGTGATTTTATAGTGTGGAGAACTTTTAAATATATTTATCACAGGCAATTTTCTCTGTTAATGTGAACCTACTGTGAATCTTTAAGGCCAAATACAATGCAACTTTCATGAACTTTCCTGAACAAGTAAGATTCATGTATGTACATACAAGACTCAGAATGTGCCTTGTTGAAATTTTTTCATGTTTATTGCAACCAGAAAGTACCCATTATTATACTGAAAATGCAAAAGCTATAGATAATAAAAAATAACATCTTGAAGTGTGTTGTGCCAGCTTAAACTCAGAGAGTGAATTTACTAGATTTGGAGTTAGCTTTGGATCTGATTAAAATGAAATATGATTTGCAACATAGTGAGGTAGATCAAAACTGAGGAAGTATTGCAAATTCAAATCCAAATTTTGAGGTCTGGGTCATTGAATCTCTTTGAAATAGAGAAACACCCAGACCTTCTCTGAGTTTATCAGTGAAGGTTTATATTAGACAAAAAACATGCTAGTAAAATAAAAAAGCTACAAGTAAAGTATCTCACTATTCAGTTATAGGTGAGATTTTGGGGCTCAGAATGAAAGCTGCTTCAGACAATTTAGCTGTAAATGATTATTTGGTTATTCCAGCTAGGAAGGCAAAGATGCCCAGATGGGATGCTAGTTACATTGTGTGCCACTGGCTACAGAAACTAATGCATTAACTATGGTAGCCCAAGGGTTTTCTAGGTTTGGGTAAATCTTTGACCCCTAAACAATTAATGATTATTAGTACTTGCTAATTTAGACATCTTTTGAGGTTTTCTGACCTTTGGTCTCTTGAAGAAAAAAGCAGCTACTGGTTAATGTTAAGATTATCTACATATCTTATCAAGTATATGTGATATTAGACACTACTCATTTCTGTATCTTCTCATTAAGCAAACACAAGTTACCCTCTGCAAGTGTGGTACAGTAACAAACAGAAATAAATAGTGACATACACTGTTTGAGGTCTGTAAGAATGCACCAGTGTTCAACTAAATACATAGGATAATGAAGGGATAAATCATTTGAAGCCTTTCAGATGGCATTTCCAGGTATCAGAGGAATTTTATTATCTTGTTTACTTTGACAAATACAGATGAAGATATTGAACAAAATGTGTAGAAGGTAATCAGTTAGCTCAGAACAGTAACATAAAAATGTGTTATGTGTTTTCAGAAAGGATAATGAGTATGAGAATTATTCATTCCCAACATAATGCTATATGTTTTGTTTATAACATACTGCACGTATGAGGTCTGGTATAATTTAAGCAATTTATTACCTAAATACTCAGAAAGACTGGTCACTGCTTAGCTGATATTGCTGTCCGATAGCTATAATCTCTTTTCTCTCACACAATTGTTTTCTATAAAGTTCCTATCATTTTACAAAGTGAGTCTGCAGCATGGGTTCTTCTGTACCAAAATGGTGAAATTCCTGCAACAAAACACTAAGATTTCTTCTTCCCTTCACAGGATGCTATCCTGGCCACATAAACTTCTTCCCTTCAGAAACATTTTATTGAGGGCTCTAATATGATTTAGATATTCTTACAATCCTAATCTGTCTTGAAAAGCATGTAAGCTTTACCCAAAACTCTTAATGGTGTGAAGGAGCCTCACTTGCACATCCTCCTTTTAGCCTAATGGCTAAGGAACTTGCCTATGAGACTTAGGATCAACATGATTTTCAACCAGGGTGCCATGAGATCCTTTTAAAGATGTTACACAGTATTAACACTGTCAGGTGTGTAAGCACCTACATGTGATTCACAAGATAAGCCCAGAAATTTCAAATAGGAATCCATAGTGTCAAAAACATTCTGACCCGTTGTGATTTTTCTGAGTTCTTTGCAACATACAAATCGCGTTATTCTTCTCTGGTGTTAAAAAAAAGAGTGAAAATTAAGCGCTGGAATTTTCTGAGGGGTGTCTTGAATCTAGAGAGGTTAAGAACCAATAGTCTAGTTCAGGGGTGGGCAAAGTCCAGCCCACAGGCAGAATTGAGCCCATAGCTACTCCATTTCCCAGCAGCCCCTGCCCACATTGCTGTGGCCAGTTTCCATGGAGACCCCAGCAGTAGCAGTGCCATGACAGCATGGGGCCTGGGTTTCCATGGAGATCGGCCCCAGCAGTGATGGCAGGACACGTGGCTGGGTGGGGAGGTGCTCTGGGGCTGGGATCTTGCAGCTGTGACAGTATGGTCTGGAGGTGGGGCAAAGCTGTAATCCACTACCCGCACACCCCAGGCAGGGGAATGCAGGCAGCACATCCTGACTCTGCCCCAGCTCTGGACTACGCTGTCACCACTGCAAGATCCCAGCCCCAGCAGTTCCCCACTCAGCTGCGCACCCTGCCAGGGCTGCTGGGGCCGGTCTCCATGGAAACTGGCCCTGTGCTGTCACAGCACCATTGTTGCTGGGGTCTCCATGGAAACCACCTGCAGCAACACAGGCAGTGGCTGCTGGGGAACTGAGTCCAGCTACCAGCCAGATCTGCTATTTTACCCACCCCTGGCCTAGTTCCTCCCCATTCCCCAGAGGAAGCTTAAACCTGCATTCTTATCTCCTGCTACTGAAAATAGTGTCCTAAGCACCGAGCTAAGTGGGGCAGAAAATATCCTTTCTATTGCCACTGGGCAGTCAAGAGTGGAAGTACATGGAGCCAGAAAGGGGATACATAAGTGGGAGTGGCACTGTGTTCCAGTAAGCTTTGGTATCATCTTGGGAAGGAAGGAGCCCTGGTTTCTAGGCTCTATAGCTAATGCTCTCTGTGAATTTTATCCAGTGACTATTTAATGAAAAATACCTTAAACAGTATCAGGAGCAGGGGTCACTTCATATCCTAGGCATATTGTAATAAAATAACATGATCACAATAAGTTTCTTCTTAGTCAAAATATACAAAGCCAACCAAATGCTGCCACCACCCTTGCCTGTAAATGCTGCAAATTTGCCTTAGCAGAATATTTTGGTTTAAAATTATGAATTTTAAACCAAAATAGAGCAGAGATAGAGCGAGAGAGAGAGAGAGAGAGCATGCTCCACCCCTCTTACTGAAGCCAACAGATTGAGCAGCCAGTGGGGAAAATATCCTGGGTTTGAATAGCAAGCAAGAAGCAGAATATTCCATGACCCAGTGAGATGGCTATGGCCCTATAAGGAAAATGCTCCTCTGTTAAACTAATGAAAAACCATTTAAGTAATGAAGATGAACAAGTTTCACTGAGGGCATACTTTGAATACAGTGGTGTGACTGATGTACCTGTGGTCTAATTAGCCTTCATACTTTTTACTACTAGTGATGATGTGTGAGAGGAAAAGGAGTATCCTCTATGCTCAAAGATCAGACTGAATTTTCAGGACTGATAGGGATGAAAACATTCTTGTATTGCTTATAAACTGAGCATATTTTCTATTAAGGCACACTAATCGGTACAAGGTACAATATGATGCAATATTAAAAAAATCCAAACAAGTTAGCAAGTCAAAGAAAAATGGTTAAGCCATATATAGAGATGTGATCTATAAAATAGCCCAAAGTAAAATAGTCAGCTGTTTAAACAGTTATTTAAACAAGAAACCATTAAGACTAACTTGGTCACCACCTGAGGATAATAAACACATAAATGGAAGCTCTGATCCAGAGAAAAGGGGTTGAGTTAGCTATAACTGCAGCTTTTACACTTGATTATTTAAAGTGTTAAAGTTTTTTTAATGTGATTCTAAAGTTATGATATCTTTATATGAAAAAATAGAAAGTGCATTTACATTTTAACAGCTACAAAATGAACATAAGTTTTTAACAAGGCAATTTAAGGATCTAACTTCACAGTGGCTTACTGGTGGCTATAATACTTACGCTGTAGGACATCATTTTGAATTACTCATATTATACTATGTCCATCAGAGACATTTACAGGGTCAGGCCCTATAATAGAAATTTTAGTCACTGGGTTACACATTCTTGGCTGAATAGCCATCTATATTCATTAATGCCACATAAACACATGAAGAATGACTAATGTAAGTGTTATTAAGGTCATATTAAGTTCATTCCTTATTTCATACCAAGATCAACATCTCCAGTTATAGAAACATGATTAAGGGTCTTGTCTAACAAAGCTGGGAAGGCATGATAAAGTGAGATTTTTTCTACTTTTTAGCCTGTGTTTCTTCATAAATATGGCACCTACCTAAAACATGTTGCACGTAATTTTAGACCAGTTAGAACTGTATAAAAATGCAAAGTGCTGTTATGTTTTAACATTTCTGCCATGCATACAGTACATCTCTCAGTTAACTATGGAGCTGTGGTCATAAGAAATTGCCTGACGGGCAGGAGCACTTGCTTCCTTATTTCCTCTCTCGCTCTTGGAGAGCAGTAACCAGCTACTGGCCCTGACAAATAGCAGATTACTAGCCATTTTATGTTAGGATGGGAGTCCTGGGTACTCAACCTCTGCTGCTCTGACTCAGCAGCAGATGTTAAAGAAGCTACTCACGGGAGTGCATGTATGTGTCTTACTTAAGCCTCTGTGCAGCTGTGTAGGGCTGGTCTGTGCTCTGACTCAAAATACTTAAGTTACAGTGCTTGGGATTGCCAACATAACTCAGATCTCATACATTTGTCAAAATTCCCAGATGCCTTACCTAATCGAGCGTAATTACTTTACCTCTGTGTGGGGGAGCTGGCTTAAAAAGCTCAGAGACAGGCAATGTGTTTGAGGCAATTCTGGATTAGTGCCTTCTCTGCTGTTAATAAGGACATTAGCCTTCTGTTTGAGTAATTACAAAGGGATCATTTTCTATCAAGTTCCCTACCTATTATGTAATTGAACCATATATGTAATTGAAACCACCAGGCCTCTTCGTAATTAAAACGTAAAGACATTTTTTTCATGTGTTTCAAAAATAATATGGATTTTAAACTATTATATAAGCAAATCTTTCTGCATCTTATGAAATGTGGAACTTTAACAGTTATATCAAAGCAACATTATTTCTTTCCTTTCTTTTTTGTTTTAAAAGGAAATGGCATATTTTTCCTTCTGTTATTTATAAATGTTTTGAACTACATATTTATAACAAGAATTAAAAAAGAGAAAATCTCTTTGTAATTACTCGAACATCATACCACTTTTATAATTAACAACAAAAAGTCATTTTCTCATAATTACCCCATTTCACTAGTGCATAAATTGCACCCAAAGAGAAATCCAGATGATATAATTGCTTCTAATACATATTATGCTATTGTAAATGAATGCCTTTTCCATTTAATAAAAAAAAAGTATCTACATAATTCCAAAACAATTTATTCCTCCATTTCTTATTTGTGCAATTAGAAAACATAAAAGAATATATTTGTGTGAAAGTAGAAGATAATAAATGTTACATAATCCCTGCATTTATATAGTCACTTAGAGCATATTGTGCCTCCACTTAGCTGAGATGCCCCAAATCAGAAGTCAATTTCTTATACCTTGCCTTGGATCTTATAGTACTACTAAGGATTTTATTGCAGTTAATGCTGGAGACATTTTTATAATCAACACATTTTTTAGTGTTTTGGGGGTGTGTGTCTTCCTTGGAAAACTGAGAAATTAATTTTCTGATTTTCATCTTTTAGACTTCACAATGAAACTACAACATTTTTTAAGAAAAGTAATTCAATTTTTCATTTCAGCATTTTTTCAGAAAATGTATTTCCAACCACAATTGTATTTCCTACATACAAGGAAACAGAAATAAATTTGCATATATAAGCTCATACTTTACACGGCTATCCTAAACCACATCAGGAAGTATTCCTGGTAACTGAAATTTAGTATCTTCTAGCATCACAACTATATATGAATATGACCCACCATCTTGAATCAAGTTAGGTCACATTCCACCAGCATCCCAAGGGCCCCTTTCTGGGTGGTTTGCTAGTCTCAGCTGGTGCTCATCTGCTCTGGGTGAGCACCAGCCCAGCCCCACTGCCAGGGTGTCACAGAGAGGAGACAGAAAAGGCTTTGTCTCCTCCTTATGTGGCCAGGCAAAGGGGTGGGGAAATGGAGTCATCCTGCAGCTTGCTTGCTTGGGTCTTGGTGGGGGGTTGGGCCAGGTCTGTGCAGCAGAAAGGCTCCATTGCCCCTGCTGTAGCCAGGAATTGCAGCTCAGGGATGTGCCACTTTTCACCACACTGGGAACTGTGGCTGGGGCAGCAGGGGAGGAACAGAGTCTCTCTGCCATGTAGATTCCCACTCCCCACCCCCAACTTGCAGACACAGGTTTTGGTGGGGGCTGTGCCAGGTTTGTGTGACAGGGGAGCTCCTTTTCACACTCCCCCAGCCACAGTTTCCAGTGCAGCAAAAAGTGGTGCGGCTCCCAGCTGCAGTTCCTGGCTGCAGCTGGGGGAACAGAGCCTCTCTGCCATGTGGACCTGGCCCAGCCCCACCAAGACCCAAGCCCTCAAGCTTGTGGGGAGGTGGTGACAGCAGTCAGCTGTCAGAAGGGTGTGGTTGGGGAGATGAGCCCGCTGGTCAATCAAGGGTACCCAGCTGCTTGGCTGGCCTTGGTATTCTCCCTCAGCCTCCTGGGAAGTATCGGGGAGTGCCCACAGTCTGTTGGCCTTAACCACTAGGGCTGCTTAGCCACTAGGGTGAAGCTTCGGTCACTGATTTGATGTAGCGGAGATTCGGCCCAATTTGGTGGCCAAATCTCTGAATCTGAATCAAATCAGGAGACCCTTTCATTTCTCCAAATCGAATTGGAATCCTCCAATTCGAGGGCATGTAGAAAAAACATTTAAAGCTGTGTCTATGGCCGAATCACTGATTCTCCAAATCTTCTGATTCGGCTGAATTGAATCAGGGACAGTGATCTGAATCAATAAATCAAAGCAGAGTCCCTGATTCGGTCCTAACCCAAATCCAAATCCAAATTGAATAGGGTCCGTTTTGCACACCCCTATTAGCCACTGCAGGCAGAATCTGAGCCCCATCCACCAAACAGTGCACCTGTGTTCTGTTCAATCCTGACCTAATCTAGAGGTCTTTGAGAAGAGTGCTGCACTTAGATTGCTTCTGCTTTAGGCTTTTTGAATATCTGTACTTAGCCTATGATGCTAACTCTCTTTCTTCTACTTCAATCCTCCTTTGTCCTCCCTGGGCTGACATTTTACTATAAAAATCATCACTGTGGAAGAGAATATATCTGATGAGGATGAATCATTGCCTCCATTGTCTCAGGTGATGTCACAGAGAAGAAGGCCCTTGTGAATAATCTTGATGAAGATTATCCAATTTGTTGCTTTAAAGATGCCTTAAGGTAATAATTTGTACTCTATAGTCTAAATTTAGCCATAACTCCTATTGATTAGAATGAGCCTTCACTTAGATGTCTACCCTAAATTGAATTATGTTATATCTGGGGTCCATTTGCATAGCAAAAAATTAGGATCTCACATCAGTTAATTAATTGAAGACATGGTAAAAATCTTGGGTACGTTACATCAGTAATTCTCAAGAGGATTCGTTGATATTTTAAAAGTAAAATATAGAGTGTAGACTCTTTCTAACTGAGCTGATTCAGAATAAATAGTCCTTAGGTGTTTTATTATGGAGTTCATCAGACTGAGGTAGAGGTAAACATCAGCAGTGTTTACTCACACACAAGAAACCCCCCCGAGAGAGCTTTCTCTTTCCTGTGAAGAGCAACAGTAGAAGCTAAAGAAAGGGATATAACTGGCTCTCTTCTTTGTAGGAGGCTTGACCAGTAGTACCTATAGGAGTCCTCTATAGGTATTATTGAACTCCTTTACTGGATGCTCAGCACAATAAGTCTTGTGTGACTTAAAGTGAAGGAGCAACAGCTTGAAGCTATTTAGATCCAATCTGAAAGCAAGCACTACCTATGATTATTGATATGAAACTTCTTTCCTTCTGTTTGCATCACAGCCAGCAATGTTTCTAAGAAGAAAGATGCCAGGATACAGGACAGTTCTGTGAAAGGTGGAAGCAGCATTTTACTTGATGTTTGAATATAATATCCTTGGACTATTACATGACTCTTGGTCATATTTGATGATTACGTACTTCGGTGTTGAATGGCCTAAGGGCTAGAATGAGTCTTTGAATTCAGCCAACAGTAAGGCATGTGTGTTGCCACTCTATCTTAGGAGCAGCCTCAGAATGGAACTGGGGTTCTGACTAAGAGGCACTGTTTCTTCCTTGATTTACTTTTTCTCCAAGTGGAAATACATCATTGGAATCCTTGAAAGGGTCCAGTTTACATATCTTGAGCCCACTGTGTCTTGTCAGCTATCTTGGTCAGTGAATAGGAGGGCAGGAAATGGAATCAAGGCTTTTCTCCCTTTGCTACACTTGTTTTGTGGGGTTAGTATCCAGAAAGCAGTGACTTTTCTGTAGACCAAACCTTCACCTAATATTGAAGAAGGCCAAGCAAGAAGCTGGGGTGGGTGGAGAGGTGGAATTCTTCATCTTAATAAGAAAAAATCACTTTTAATTCTAAGGCAGCGAGATAGAACTATGATAAATGATTTGGTTCTTGACAGAATGCCTGACCTCAGTTTTCTTGTTTCATGTGTGACCCAACAGCCAAATATCTTCAGAGGAACTTGTTTGAATAGGTCATGTTTGTCCGCAGTGAATTTTTTATATCAAGAGTTGGATTTCTCTGCTGTGACCAGGCTATTTCATTAAGCTTCAAACAAGAGCTCTTCCTGCCATATATGGTTTATACTTTTTCAATTTCTACCTTAGAGCCCTTCTTTCATCTAGAATACTCATTTTACTGCCTCCTGTTATTGACTACTATTCTGAGTGGGGAGGACATTCTAAATTCTAATCATCACCATGTCACGTTGGCTGTCTCCCATTAATGCATGAATTCATTTTAAAAGCAAGGGAAAAATGACTTAATTAGGGAAAAAGCTTAAAAATCTAAGAAACTATTGTTGAAGCTAAAAACACTTTGAAATGAGAACAGTTACAATATTTTAAACTGTGAATAACAATGACCCTTTTCTCAACTGAGACCCCAAGTTCCCATGACAGAAGTGCCTCAGCCAAGGGCTGTACAAGAGAAAGGGCCTGCATCTCTTCCACTGAGTAACATGAGTCCTTCATACAGTATTCTCTTACATTCCTTGGGCTTGTTAATGCATCATGAGAGCAACATCACAGGGACAGAGACGTTTCTATTCCCAGAAGAAAAATCTGACAGCTGTTGCTTACCCTTGCCAACACCTCTGCACCTCAGGCAGCTTTAGGGGATCTTGAGGCATTACTTCTGCAAATGAAACAAAATCATTTCTGCAGTAATTCTATGTAGTTCAGTAGTTCCAATTTTTCATCTTGTGCAGGTGGAAAGTGTTTTTTTTCCTTCCATAAATGGGGACTGAGTCACGGAGAGATGACTTACCTAGGGTCATAAAGGAAGCTAGGAACAGAATAGGGAATTGAATTCAACTCTCTAGAGTTTGATAGTATTGCCTTAGCTAGGTCTCCCCCACCAAAATTGCACATGTATTTGGTCCTTCATTTCAGCCTGGGGCTGGGCTGCTGGATTCCCAGTAGGAAAAACAAAACCTGTTTTAGTTTCCTTGTTGACCATGTTTAGTATGGAAACACGGAACACCAAAAGGGCTCCAGGCTTGGAACAGTCTCTTCTCCCTAACAAGATTGATAACAGTCCTCTT